GACTTCAAAGATTTCAAAGATTTCAAAGGTTGCAAAAGGCGGGGGAAACTCCCGGGAAGTTTCCCAAACCTTTTGCACCCTTTGAAATCTTTGAAATCTTTGAAATCTTTGAAATAGAAATTCCCGCCGGGCTTCCCCAATACTAAACCACGAGCCCGGGCTCGTGATTTAGTATTGGGGGTGAGGCCCGGGGCTCGTGATTTGTATTTGGGGGGAGGGCCGGGCCTCGGATTTAGTATTGGGGGGAGGACCGGGCTACTTGATTTAGTAGTGGGGGGAGGGCCGGGCTCGTGATTAGTATTGGGGTGAACGCCCGGGCTCGTGATCTAATATTGGGGGGAAGCCCGGGCTCGTGATTTAGTATTGGGGGGAAGCCCGGGCTCGTGGTTTAGTATTGGGGAAGCCCGGGGGGGATTTCTATTTCAAAGATTTCAAAGATTTCAAAGATTTCAAAGGTTGCAAAAGGTTTGGGAAACTTCCCGGGAGTTTCCCCCGCCTTTTGCAACCTTTGAAATCTTTGAAATCTTTGAAGTCTTTGAAATAGAAATTCCCCCAATACTAAATTACGAGCCCGGGCTCGTGATTTAGTATTGGGGGGAAGCCCGGGCTCGTGATTTAGTATTGGGGGGAGGGCCGGGCTCGTGATTTAGTATTGGGGGGAGGCCCGGGCTCGTGATTTAGTATTGGGGGGAGGGCCGGGCTCGTGATTTAGTATTAGGGGTGAAGCCCGGGCTGGTGATTTAATATTGGGGGGAAGCCCGGGCTCGTGATTTAGTATTGGGGGGAAGCCCGGGCTCGTGGTTTAGTATTGGGGAAGCCCGGCGGGAATTTCTATTTCAAAGATTTCAAAGATTTCAAAGATTTCAAAGGTTGCAAAAGGTTTGGGAAACTTCCCGGGAGTTTCCCCCGCGTTTTGCAACCTTTGAAATCTTTGAAATCTTTGAAATCTTTGAAATCGAAATTCCCCCAATACTAAATTACGAGCCCGGGCTCGTGATTTAGTATTGGGGGGAAGCCCGGGCTCGTGATTTAGTATTGGGGGGAGGGCCGGGCTCGTGATTTAGTATTGGGGGGAGGGCCGGGCTCGTGATTTAGTATTGGGGGGAAGCCCGGGCTCGTGATTTAGTATTGGGGGAAAGCCCGGGCTCGTGATTTAGTATTGGGGGGAAGCCCGGGCTCGTAATTTAGTATTGGGGGAATTTCTATTTCAAAGATTTCAAAGATTTCAAAGGTTGCAAAAGGCGGGGAAACTCCCGGGAATTTCCCCCGCCTTTTGCAACCTTTGAAATCTTTGAAATCTTTGAAATAGAAATTCCCCCAATGCTAAATTACGAGCCCGGGCTCGTGATCTAGTATTGGGGGGAAGCCCGGGCTCGTGATTTAGTATTGGGGGGGAAGCCCGGGCTCGTGGTTTAGTGTTGGGGAAGCCCGGGGGGAATTTCTATTTCAAAGATTTCAAAGAATTCAAAGATTTCAAAGGTTGCAAAAGGTTTGGGAAACTTCCCGGGAGTTTCCCCCGCCTTTTGCAACCTTTGAAATCTTTGAAATCTTTGAAATCTTTGTTCCCCCAATACTAAATTACGAGCCCGGGCTCGTGATCTAGTATTGGGGGGAAGCCCGGGCTCGTGATTTAGCATTGGGGGGAAGCCCGGGCTCGTGGTTTAGTATTGGGGAAGCCCGGGGGGAATTTCTATTTCAAAGATTTCAAAGATTTCAAAGATTTCAAAGGTTGCAAAAGGTTTGGGAAACTTCCCGGGAATTTCCCCCGCCTTTTGCAACCTTTGAAATCTTTGAAATCTTTGAAATCTTTGAAATAGAAATTCCCCCAATACTAAATTACGAGCCCGGGCTCGTGATTTAGTATTGGGGGGAAGCCCGGGCTCGTGATTTAGTATTGGGGGGAAGCGCGGGCTCGTGATTTAGTATTGGGGGGAAGCGCGGGCTCGTGATTTAGTATTGGGTGGAGGGCCGGGCTCGTGATTTAGTATTGGGGGGAGGCCCGGGCTCGTGATTTAGTATTGGGGGGAGGGCTGGGCTCGTGATTTAGTATTAGGGGTGAAGCCCGGGCTCGTGATGTAATATTGGGGGGAAGCCCGGCGGGAATTTCTATTTCAAAGATTTCAAAGATTTCAAAGATTTCAAAGGTTGCAAAAGGTTTGGGAAACTTCCCGGGAGTTTCCCCCGCCTTTTGCAACCTTTGAAATCTTTGAAATAGAAATTCCCCCAATACTAAATTACGAGCCCGGGCTCGTGATTTAGTATTGGGGGGAGGCCCGGGCTCGTGATTTAGTATTTGGGGGAGGGCCGGGCTCGTGATTTAGTATTGGGGGGAGGCCCGGGCTCGTGATTTAGTATTGGGGGGAGGGCCGGGCTCGTGATTTAGTATGAGGGGTGAAGCCCGGGCTCGTGATTTCGTATTGGGGGGAAGCCCGGGCTCGTGATTTAGTATTGGGGGGAAGCCCGGGCTCGTGGTTTAGTATTGGGGAAGCCCGGGGGGAATTTCTATTTCAAAGATTTCAAAGGTTGCAAAAGGTTTGGGAAACTTCCCGGGAGTTTCCCTCGCCTTTTGCAACCTTTGAAATCTTTGAAATCTTTGAAATCTTTGAAATCTTTGAAATAGAAATTCCCCCAATACTAAATTACGAGCCCGGGCTCGTGATTTAGTATTGGGGGGGGGGGAAAAAGCCCGGGCTCGTGATTTAGTATTGGGGGGAGGGCCGGGCTCGTGATTTAGTATTGGGGGGAGGGCTGGGCTCGTGATTTAGTATTAGGGGTGAAGCCCGGGCTCGTGATTTAATATTGGGGGGAAGCCCGGGCTCGTGATTTAGTATTGGGGGGAAGCCCGGGCTCGTGGTTTAGTATTGGGGAAGCCCGGGGGGAATTTCTATTTCAAAGATTTCAAAGGTTGCAAAAGGTTTGGGAAACTTCCCGGGAGTTTCCCCCGCCTTTTGCAACCTTTGAAATCTTTGAAATCTTTGAAATAGAAATTCACCCAATACTAAATTACGAGCCCGGGCTCGTGATTTAGTATTGGGGGGAAGCCCGGGCTCGTGATTTAGTATTGGGGGGAGGGCCGGGCTCGTGATTTAGTATTGGGGGGAGGCCCGGGCTCGTGATTTAGTATTGGGGGGAGGGCCGGGCTCGTGATTTAGTATTGGGGGGAGGCCCGGGCTCGTGATTCAGTATTGGGGGGAAGCCCGGGCTAGGCCCCCAATACTAAACAAAGAGGCTACCTCACATTATACCTAAAGGTCCTTCGTACATAACCATAACCCCTATTAAGGATTGTTAGTAGAGGGGGGGAACATCCCAACCTTAAACCCCAAATCCTTTGAAGAGACCTTCCCCACCCTCCCCCCCCCTCCCCCCCCGCCCACCCCCCCCCCCCTTCCCCCTTCCCGCCGGCCGCCCGCCCCTTTCCCCCACCTTTCCCCCCATTCTCCCAAAACACTCAAAGGCTTCGAGGGTTTGGGATCGAGGGGTTCGGGCTTTGGGGGGTTTAGTTTTTTCAAGGGTTTCGAGCTTTGGGCTTTGGGGATTGAGGGCTTTAGGGGTTCAGGGCTTTGGGGATTCGGGCTTGGCAGTGCTTTTTGATTCCTAGTGTGGCGTAGGGGTGGGCGAGTTGTCAGGCCGACATGCGGGTTTTCCGCACCAAGGATGCCGGAATCTCTGAACACGGCACATGTTCGGCAAGCCCTTCGGATCAGACAAGTCAGCGAAGACTCTAGCCAGGACAAGTCGAGGCCCTTTAGAGTTTAGGGTTTAGGGTTTAGGGTTTAGGGTTTAGGGTTTAGGGTTTAGGGTTTAGGGTTTAGGGTTTAGGGTTTAGGGTTTAGGGTTTAGGGTTTAGCCCCCCGAACCCCTAAGCAAGCCATGGGCAGTGCTGCTTCCACCTATGGCGCGGAGCTCGCAGGAGCCTCCAACTTCTGGGTGGGCGGCAGGGAGTCGCTCTGATCAACCCTCCCAACTTTCTAAGTTTGAAGCCGAAGCAAGCCCGAAACCCCCAAGCCCTGCACTCCCTGAACCCTTCAAAGCCCTGAAGCCCTGAAGCCCTGAAGCCCTAAACCCTAAACCCTAAACCCTAAACCCTAAACCCTAAACCCTAAACCCTAAACCCTAAACCCTATGTTGTTGCAGGAGCTTCGGCAGCCGACCTCCGCAAAGCCTTCCAGGAGTTGCCAGAAGACACGCGGAGAAAGGTCGAGTCCGCCGTGGCCAGGACCGCCTCGTTGCTAGGACCCCAAACCCTAAACCCTAAACCCTAAACCCTAAACCCTAAATCCTAAACCTCAACCCTAAACCCTAAACCCTAAACCCTAAACCCTAAACCCTAAACCCTAAACCCTAAACCCTAAACCCTAAACCCTAAACCCTAAACCCTAAACCCTAAACCTAACCCTAAACCCTAAACCCTAAACCCTAAACCCTAAACCCTAAACCCTAAACCCTAAACCAACCCTTAGGCCCATTCTTCGGATCCAAATAGGGCCACGCTAGAAACACAAGAAGGCACCCTTTGCATGCCTCAGCTGCTGGACACCCCATTCTTTTGCTTGTTGACCTGCCATGGGTCTTATTCAAGCCGTAAACCCTAAACCCCAAACCCTAAACCCCTAACCCTAAACCCTAAATCCTAAACCATAAACTTATAGGGGCTTATAGAGTGTAATGATTTGCGATTTAGGAGTGTCGACTGGAGCCACAGCCCGTCTTCGGGTTTTAGGAGCTGGGGTTTAGGAACTCAGGCTTCGCAATGTCGAGTCTAGGGTTATAGGGTCTATATAGTGTTCAGGATTCCGGGCTTATTTCTTTTCAGGGTTACAGGGTTATAGGCTTATAATGACAATAGGGTTACAATCGGGTTATAGGGTTATGGGGTTTGGGTAGGGTTTACCCCTAAACCCTAAACTCTCTAAACCCCAAAACCCTAAACCCTAAACCCTAAACCCTAAACCCTAAACCCTGAACCCTAAACCCTAAACCCTAAACCTTAGGGTGAGGACTTCAACCTGGGCTGCGGCCTTTGGCGTCCTCGGCCGCTTCGCAAGCAAGGACCCAGCGGCCACCATAAAGCTGGTGCTCGAGGATGCTCAGACCCAGGTCGGGATTAGGGTTTAGGGGTCAGGGGTTGGGGGTTAGGGGTTAGGGTTTAACGTATAGGGTTTAGGGTTTAGGGTTTAGGGTTAGGGTTTAGGGTTTAGGGTTTAGGTTCTAGGGTGGGGGTGGAGGTTCGAAGCCTGTTGAGCACCATTTTCAACTACTTGGCATACGACTCCTTGAGAAGCCTGGACCCTAACCCTAAACCCTAAACCCTCAAGACGAAATAAATAGATATTGTTTGTGATATCACTCTGAATTTTCCAAACTATCTGTCTAAACTGCTGACGTGCCGAGTTTAAGTAAATTCACGCAAAACACCTGGGAGGCTAAATGGTCACTTTCCTTAAACCTACGGGGCCTTCCCAAGCCTTGGTACTCGTGAGTTCCACTAAAACAGCCTAACAAACAGTACTCGGGCCTACCCGGAATACTAAATTGCGAAGCCGGGCCTCCCCGGAATACTAAATTGCGAAGCCGGGCCTCCCCCGAATACTAAACTATGAAGCCGGGCCTCCCCGGGAATACTTAGTTACGAAGCCAGGCCTCCCCCGAATACTAAACTGCGAAAATTACGAAGCCGGACCTCCCCCGAATACTAAATTACGAATTCCCCCGAAGACAAAATCACAAAGCCGGGCCTCCCCGGAATATTCAAACGTATTCGGGCACCCCGAACCACCCACCTCCCTTCGCCCCCCCCCCCCCCCCCCCCCCCCCCCCCTCCACGCCGACCCCTAAAACCTAATATCCAAACAACACATTTCGCTCAACACTTTCGCTCAAAACGTTTCGCTCAAAACGTTTCGCCCAAAACGTTTCGCCCAAAACTTTCGCTCAAAACTTATTGGGACCCAAACCCTATACAATTTCTATAAACCCTAAACCCTAAACCCTGGCTGGGGGGGGGGGGGGTAGTAGGGAAACCCATGAACCCTGGTGTGCAGCGCCAGGTCAAGGAAGAGACGGGCGCGCCTTGGTTTTCTGTGTTGGGGCAGCCGGGTGGAAGCAGTGAAGGACATCCTGCAGTCCCTGAAACAGACAGAGAGAAGATATTCTGGGTGGCAGCGTTTCGCAGCCGAGAGAGTCTGGGATGCGCTGGTATTTCATAAGTTTTCGAGTTTTCTATCATGGCCCAGACCTGGCCGTAACAAGGTTTGTGCAGTAGGGCGCAAGGGCTTGAGCCGTTCTTGCAGCAACCCTTAGGGTAATTAGTTCTCTGCCGACTAGGAACGCAGATCTACGCGGCTAAGGATCTACCACACTGAGCACACAAACCGCCCAAGCAACAAGACCTTTGTCTCGGAGCTCATGGCAACATGCGCTACCGGCAATCCCATGTCCGATACTTGGTGGCCCAGTGGTACCCTTTACCCCCTTTTTTTTGGTTCTTGGTTCCCTTACAATGTAACCAACCCCCAAAAAAGGGTACCCTTACTTGAGTATGGTTACTGGGCTAGTAAGGATATGAATGGCACCTACAGGGGCATCATGTACTACCTTGAGAAGCCGGCAGCAAAAGCGTCGGGGACCATCTGGGCGGCGCTGAGAAGCTGGAACACCAAGGACTCAGACGCAGCGTCCAAGCTTCTCCAGTTCTTACGTGCAGATGCTCTGCAGCACCTATATCCCCCTTGGGAATTATTTTTCGTTTTTGTTATATAAAACCCAAGAGGATATTGAACATATTCTTTTTATTAAGGTTCTAAGGGGAGTATAGGCACATGGAGGCCCATGAGGGCCTCGTGCAGAGCATCCTGTTTCCCACGGTTATGATGGGAGGCGATGTGCCCCAAGGAGTACCGAAGGACGACCGCATTGTCAGCCTCGTCCAGCTGTTTACGTCTGCGGCGGCCATGGAAGCCTGGAAGGCATCAAGCCTCCAAGATGCAGGTGCCTATATCCCCCTTGGGAATTATATTTCTTCTATTTTCGTTCATGTGAAACCCAAGAGGATACTAAAACATCTTTTTGTCAAGGCTCTAAGGGGAGTATAGGTGCATGGAAAGAGCTGGTCGAGGACCCCTCCAAGGATTTCATGCTGTTCGAATTTGCGAACTTCCAGCACTTCGCCAAGTGACCAGGTTTCAGGGTTTAGGGTTTAGGGTTCAGATTTAGGGTTTAGGGTTTAGGGTTTAGGGTTCCGGTCAGCGTGTACATTGCTCGGTATGCCTAAGCATGCAGCACTTTATCATAATTGCCCTTGCATCTCTTGCAGGGTCTCCCGCTGCTTCAAGCATTGCACTTGCACTGGATGTTTGTCCTGCCTGATTTCGAGGGAAAGCAGCTGACGGGTTTTATCTCAAGTGCTTGTTTGGTCTTTGCCGGGCGTAGACCATCATTCCCTTAAGCTTGCAGACGCGCTTGAATCTGATGAGTCTGCACCCGAGGTACTGTACCCCAATCCCTAAACGCTAAATGCCCTAAACCCTCACCCCTAAACCCTAAGCCCTGAGGCCTTAAGGAGTAGCGTCTAGCATAAACCCTGAACCGTGGCTCAAGCCAATCTCGGATCTTCTGGGACATGTTGCATTGAGGGCGTGCAGGGTTTAGGGTTTAGGGTTTCGGGTTTAGGGTGTATCTTGGACATGGTTTAGGGGTTGCGGGTTGGGGTTCAGGGTTTTTCGGGTTTCTGGGGAATAGACTTCCAGCTGGTAAGCCGAGTCACCTTCAAGCTTTTCTGCTGTAGAATCCTATACTCAAGAGACCAAAGACCCTTACAAGGGACCTTAGGGGTAATGTATCGGCTACTTGAGGAGTTATAGAGGGAAACAAGATTCCGGGTCCCTTCTCAGGGTCCCTCCCTCTATCCCTTATTCTACATGAATTATCCTATAAGTAGGGGCCCCCGTACTCTGCTAACCTAAAAATTTCTAAACCCTGAACCCTAACCCCTAAACCCTAAATAATATGACTTAGGTGCCACTTTAGGGCCCTCTACCGGATCCCGGTCATCGCCTATGGACCCTGAACCCTAAGCCACTAACCCGAAACCGCCCTCGTACCGTTGGCGAGTATGGAAGGGAGGAACGGAGTTCAAATACCGTTCAGCTCTCATTGTTCTTGCTGTTAATACTCGTGCTTAATATATCTATTCCTTCCATTCCGATTCCCTAAACCCCTAAACCCCTAGACCCTACACCCTAAACCCTGAACCTACACCCTAAACCCTAAACCCTAAACCCTGAACCCGACCGGGAGGTTCTCCCAACACCAGCGCCGATGAGCTGAAGCTGATCGACTTTGGCTTTGCCATGCAGGCAGAGGGCATGAGCCCATCTTGGTTTAGGGTTTAGGGTTCAGGCTTTAGGGTTCAGGCTTTAGGGTTCAGGCTTTAGGGTTCAGGGTTTAGGGTTCAGAGTCCAGGGTTTAGGGTGGGTTCCTTGATGAGGGTTGAGGGTTGAGATCACCGCGCTTCTTCATTCATGCTGGCGCTAAAGACACAAAACCCTATCAACTCTCCCCAAGAATTCGCCCTAAAATCCTTAGACCCTACCCCAAAACCCCTAAACCCCCTGAACCCCCCAAACCTCCCCTTAGCATCCCCTTAATTTCTCCTAACCACTGGCCTAGGGTTGATGGTTGAGGGCTTGGGGGACTTGGGGGGTTTCAGGGTTTAGAGTTTAGGGTACAGGGCGGCGGTGGCCCATTGTGCTCTCACCAGTGCCCGGAAGAGTCGTCGATGTTTGGCTGCAGAATCCAGATGATCTAGGTTTTGGGGCTCACGGTGTGTAGCTTGACGTTGAACGCCCTGTGAGAGAATTGCAAGTGTAATCATAGCGCTCTCTCTCTCTTGCCTTTCTTTCTCCCCCAAACCCCAAACCCCAAGCCCTAAACCCTAAACCCTTTGTCGCCTGGGACGCGAGGATGGCGCGCAGCACTCCAAAGACGAAGCTGCTGCTGGAACTTTGCTGCCGGAGGCTTATCAGGTAGAGGGCTGGATAGGGTTTGGGGTTCGGGGTTCGGGGTTCGGGGTTTAGGGTTTAGGGTTTAGGGTTTAGGGTTTAGGGTTTAGGGTTTAGGGTTTAGGGTTTAGGGTTTAGGGTGCAGCGTTTGGGGTGTAGAGCTTAGGGGCTTCAAGGTTTAGGGTTTACGGTAGAATTTTACCAGGACGTGCTATTCGGCCTGATATTCCCATAAGCACTTGAGGGATTGTAGGATAGTAGATGATAGCCCATCCTGGTGAATGCCCTAGGCCCTAAACAGGAGAGTGAGGTCCTAGAATCCTAAGCTTCTTATAAATTAACACGGCAGCAATACCCCTAAACCCTACAACCTAAACCCCTTAAGTTAAACCCAAGCCTTCAGTCCCACACCAACTCCTGTGGGTCCAGAAACAATGGTTCCAAGTCCGCGGCCGCGGCAGCCACGAGTGAAGAAGCCACTTCTGGCCAGGAAAAGTCGACCACGAACATTCGCTGTCACGGAGCCAAGCCTTGGAACCTTCAGAGAGGCTCCCTGTTGGTCTGGCCCGTGTCCTGCTTGACCTTGCCCGGCTTGCCCTTGGGTGGGGGCCACAGGAGCATGATCACTGTCGAAGGCGTTGGCTGACCCCATGATACCAAGATATGCATGCGGAACCCTAAACCCTAAACAGTAAGCCCTGAGGTCCACAAACTAAACATCCCTGAGCCCTAAAACAATTCCTAACCCTTAAAACCCCAAGCCTTCCTTTTTCAAGCTCCTCGCATGTACAGGGCCTCAGGTTTAGGGTTTAGGGTTTAGGATTTAGGGTTTAGGGCTAGCCTGATGATGTTAGGTTGCTGAGCCTTCGTCGGAGACTTCGGATTCAGGGTTTGAGGTTTCGAAGCTTCAGTTTGTAGGGCTCATGTTACGGGCGTTGGTGCTGCAGCACACGAGGATTTACGAAAATTTGGGACCCCAAATATAGACCCCCCAAATAGCAGGATCCCCTTATAGTGAGAACCCCAATAAGGTACTCCTGATATCGTAAACGCCCCACATGTCCCGAAACCCTAGACCCTAAATCCTAAGCCAGCGCTAAACCCTAAACTCTGAACCCTAATTCCTAATTCCTAAACCCTAAACCCTAAACCCTAAGCCCTAAACCCCAAAGCCATAAACCTGAAGTATCAGATCAGGTACATGTCACCGCAGCTGCTCAGCGGCTGCGAAGCCAGCCAGAGTGACGACGTGTGGTGCCACCGGCTCCGTTCTTGTCGCCTTAGGGGTTTAGGGTCTAGGGTTTAGGGTTAGGGTTTAGGGCTAGTAGGTGTGAGTAGATAAACTCCAAACCTTGAACCTCTTTTGCCGCCGCGGACTTTGTATCGCGCCCGCTAACCTAAAACCCTCAGCCCTAAACCACTTGGCTAAACCCGCAACCTTTAACCCCTACACCCCAAACCCCTAAAACCCTAAACCCTAAACCCCAAGACCCTGACCTCCAAACCCCAAACCCGACCACTAAAACCAGTGCGGAGAAGGCCGAGGATCGGCGTGGTATAGCGAAGTCTTCAAGACGAAGCGCCAGGACAGGTACGCCCTGATCAGCATCGACGGGTCGGCCTTTGACACCGTCCACACCCCGGCGGTGCCGGCCAACCCGACCGCCAACACCCCGGAGCCGGGGGCCCCGGAGAAGTGGACCGTGGCGGAGCTCACCTTCGACAAGCTCCGCCAGTGGCAAGACCCGGTCGGACTCCGGGACCGAGGCCCAGGTGGAGGCCGCGGTCGCGGCGGGGGTGTACTGGGCCACCCTCCGCGGCAAGTAGGAGGGCCCTGGTTATGATAGTATTCCTGAGGGACCATAAGGGAATACGATTTGCAGTTATTCCGACCCCTAAACCCCCAACCCCTAAACCCTACAGTAAACCCTAAACCCCTTCACAAAACCTGGATTACCCAAGCCATCGAGCTGCTTCTTTCCTTAATTCCTGGCCTCTTGGGCTCTAGGGTTTAGGGTTTAGGGCTTAGCCCTAAACCCTAAAACTTAAATCCTAAACTTAGGGTTGAAGGTGCTTAGAGTGGGGGGCTTCCTCCTTGGCTCTTCAAAGTAAGAATACATTAGGGTTTAGGGTTTAGCGATTAGGGCTTAGGGTTTCTTTTGGAAGCCCAAGTATGTAATCCGTATTTCTTGGAATCCCCGCACATTTTGAGGGTTCAAGGTCGGGCTTAGGGCTCAGCGTTTACGATGTCAATGTAGAGCGTAGGGTATCTCAGGCGTTTCGGTTGAGGAGTTTCTGGTGCTTGAGACTCTTCTGTTGCAAGAATTCGGGCTCACTAAACCCTAAACTTTAAATAATTAAAGCTAAGCCCTAACCCTGAAACCTAAACCCTAAACCCTCGACCCCAAACCCTAGAAACTAAACCGCCCAAAAAGTTTAGAAAGCCATGAAAACAGGTCGGTGGGCATGATTTTCCACATCCTGCTCACGGGGAACTTCCCTTTCTCCACGAACGACGACGCCTGCTTCAAGGCCTCGCAATTCGTTTAGGGTTTAGGGTTTAGGGTTAGCGCCCAGTCCTACCTTTTGCTTTGTTGTTCGGAGGGCCTCCTTTATCCCTAAACCCTCTACCCCTAAACCCGAAAAATTCAAACCCTTAACCCGAAACCCTAAAGATTTGCACCGCGTGTCCCCTAAACCCTAAACCCTAAACCCTAAACCCTAAACCCTAAACCCTAAACCCTAAACCCTAAACCCTAAACCCTAAACCCTAAACCCTAAACCCTAAACCCTAAACCCTAAACCCTAAACCCTAAACCCTAAACCCTAACCTAAACCCTAAACCCTAAACCCTAAACCCTAAACCCTAAACCCTAAACCCTAAACCCTAAACCCTAAACCCTAAACCCTAAACCCTAAACCAAACCTATCATGGCCTCAACGATGTCGGAGACCGCTCAAGCCACACAAGCCTAAAAGCTGCTGTTTTCGTGTCTAGGGCTACTGTATGGCATCCCAGAGTAGCTTCCTCAACTTTTGGGATTTCGGAGTTTATGGTTTAGGGTTTAGGGTTTAGGGTTTAGGGCTACTGGTTGCTTCGATCTTTCTGCCGGGAAACGCAGGACCTCGTCGCACACGGCTCTCTGCAAGAGGACATCCAGGCATCGGCGCCGTG